CTCCCATGCCAGCCTGATTGATGTCTAACTGCTCCTCTGCCAACCTGTTTGCCCCCAACTTCCCTCCTCTACCGACCTGGTCACCCCTAACTGTCCTCCCCGGCAGGGTTGATTGCCTCTAACTGCCCTCCCCTGCTGGCCATCTTGTGATGGCCATCTTGTGTCCACATAGGTGCAGGATCTTTGACCACATGGGGGCAGCCATATTGTGTGTTGGAGGGATGGTCAATCTGCATATTACTCTTTTATTAGATAGGATTCGTTTCTGCAGCTCTAATTTGTGTGCCCAGATATGCAAACATTTTCTATAATCTTTTATTACCAGGGATATATCAAAATTTTAGCAAATGTGTACTAACTGCATGAGACTCTGTCCAGGTAAACAGCAATGATTATAACTGCTTAGAAGACAACTTTCCAAACTAGAAAATACATTTTTAAACTTATCAAATTAAAGACCTAGCTTTCAAACACAAAGCATAACATTCTGTGGTTACTTTTGTAACTCAAACACTAACTTTCTTTAGCACTGGAAATAAATATATCTCTTTAAATCCCAGTAATCAGAAAAACACACATAATAAAGAATAATTTTAAACATCAATAATTCAAATATTACAATTCTTTTAAAAATATATTTTATTGATTTTATACAGAGAGGAAGGGAGAGAGATAGAGAGTTAGAAACATCAATGAGAAAGAGTCATCAGTCAGCTGCTTCTTGCACACCCCCTACTGGGGATATGCCCACAACCAAGGTACATGGCCTTGACCAGAATCGAACCCGGGACCCTTCAGTCCCCAAGCCGACGCTCTATCCATTGAGCCAAACCGGTCTGGCCAAATATTACAATTTTTAAAAGCCACCTCTAGAACTGACCTAATAATTTTCCCATATCATTTACATGCAAATATAAAAATAACTTCAAAATGAACTATGTATTTTATTTATAAAATATATTTTAATTTTTTAAAGAGAGGAAGGGAAAGGGATAGAGTCAGAGACATAGATCAGCTGCCTCCTACACACCCCCTACTGGAGATGTGCCCTCAACCAAAGTACATGCCCCTGACTGGAATAGAACCCAGGACCCTTTAATCCACAGGCCGACACTCTATCCAGTGAGCCAAACCAGCCAGGGCTGATCAACTATTTATTTTAGCAATAGTTCCCTGGCACACATAAGATTCCCTAGCCCTGATCTGTGAAAACTGTGAAGGATTAAGAAATAAAAATTGCCAGTTACAAAAAGAGCCACGGAGATGTAAATTACAGCATAAAGAATAGAGTTAATAGTATTTAATAACTATATATGGTGACAGATGAGTAATAGACTTATCAAAATGCTCACTTCATACGATTTTTAAATGTCTAATCACTATGTTGTACACCTGAAACTAATACAATATTGTGTTGTCAAATGTAAGTGAAAAATATTTTTAAAATTTTTTAATTATAGTAAAAAAAAAAAAAAAAAGCCATAATGGCATTTAAAAATATTCCCCAGGCATTTAGCATATTATTACCATAAATATGCTCTATAATATTACCATATTTATTCTCTTACTATATTTATGCTTTGTATTACTCGATATTATACTTTAACTCAAACCCTTATCCAACTGAAAACAAGATTAATCCAGTTTTCAAATAATACTTAAAAAATAATCATGGTTAATTTGTTAAATGTTTCCATTCTTAAATACTTTGGAGTAACTCCACTGTCATGTAAAAAAAAATTTGAATTTTGAATTATTATATTACCAAAAGACTAATGGTCAGCATTTAGTTTCAAGAGCAAAGTGGTCAGAATCATGCTTTATTTCAAGAACTCTGTTAAGCAACCACTCACTGTTTATAATCTTTTTAAAATATTTTTAAAATATTAGTACAAAAATAATATGCTCTATTAATAACTTATCTTTTAACCCAAAACCCTAAACAGTATATATAAAATGCCAAATGTAAAAACAAAAATTCTTACAATGATTCTAATATAAATGAATTTTGCAAAATATTCAGAGTCTAAGAAAAATCAGCAGTTTAGATAAAGTATCCTCACACCTAGAAAAAAAACCCATAAATTCAGGGGCAAAAAAGAGACACTTATTAAAGGTTTTAAACTTTCCAAAGCTTTTAAGTCAAGCATTATCTTTTTTTTAAACCTACAAATTAGAATTAAAAAACTTGAAAGATAATCCAATAGTATACATAGAAATAATTTTTTAAAAGCAGTAGTAATAGATAAGTTTCTGTCAGAAAGAAAAAAACAGTTATACAAGGTGCAGACTAAATTTGTCTGGGGAGGGAGGTAATGACAAAAATCCTAGCTAAAAAGAGAATTGTTGGGAGTTATTCAAGCCTGAACCTACCCTGACAAAGAAAAGCCAGCTCTTGTTTTTCATACTTCCAGAGAATAAAAATTCTGAAACCAACATAGTTCAACATGCCACAAAAACAAAACAAAACAAAAACACTGTTTCTCGGGATTGTTCAAAAGATGGACGAAACTAAATAATTCACCACTTCCTACAGGACTCCAGCTCATTCAGTCTATTCAGAATCCAACTCAAACACACGCTGCAAAGGTTATATAATGTCAAGCTTTGCATTACACATTTCACTGGTGTATTCAAGCTCACAAAGATGCTACCAAGAACTGCATGAAGCTGCAAGCAGACTCTAGAATACTTTATTTTAATACTAAGGCTAATGAATCTTGACCAAAATAGGTAAAACCTCATAAGCACTGAGTCTGAACTAATGAATATTTTTTTTTCTTTAGCTCAACAAAATACCCTGTTTCCCCGAAAATAAGACAGTGTCTTATATTAATTTTTTCTCCCAAAGTTGCGCTAGGTCTTATTTTCGGAGGATGTCTTATTTTCGGGAAAACACGGTACTTAGTAGTTCATCAAATCACCCAGTATTTTAGGGAGCCTTCATTCTTCCCCCAAAAATAATGAAGCTTTGCAAGTTTTTCATTTTTAAGATGTCACTGTATTCGAACACCAAGAAAGTAACACACACATTCACAAAGAAATATTAGAAAATGTTCAGTTCTTTAAAACTTAAATGCAATCGTGCATAATAACCTCAAGGTTCAATATCAATCTGAAATCCAATGTTACGCACCATCCATCTAAACGTGAGCATTCGTGAGACGCGAAACCTTCAAGTAGCATTTTACACATCGGCCACATAAAACATCAGACCCATTTATTTCTTCATCACCGTAACGAAAAGCAAGCGACTGGACTAAATTTTTCCAAATGAATTACCTTTGCAAATCATGATTGCAACCCTCTATTAGACCGGCATTATTCACTTCAAACTAAAACAATGCTCCTTCCATTTAAATTACTCTGTTTAATCTTTTGGAATTGGAATGACAACTTCGACAGCTAGCCAAGTATTTTTAAATAAAACATTTTAAATAGATTGGGGGGAAAACTGTTTCAAGGCTTAAATCACTGACGCTTAACCTCACCTCGGAGCCAGGCAGTATTCCTTTTTCCGGCGATAATGAAGCCAATTAATACCTACACAGGTTAATTCAAGTTATCTGTATGGGTCAAAGGAACGGGACTTACCTACCGAAAAGGATTATTTCTATTGAAGCTTTCTGGTCACTGTGCCTGAAACCCCTTATATGTAGTTACTTTGAAACAAAAAGCAAAAGCACAATTACAGATAAAAGGAATCAGTGGCCTTCCTGCACCAGACTACAGACAAAAACCCGGGCAACTAAGTAACATTTTTCAAGAACCCTCCGGAATCAAACGCTGGGCTTGAGTCGCTGCAAACTTTCTCTGGGCAATTGCAACAATGAAGCTGAGTGTCAAGTGCAGAGCGGCGGGCGGCAGCCGGGGAGCGAGAGCGAGAAATGTCTCATGGCAACAACCCCTGTCTCACCCGCTCCCAAGTTTCCCGGTCCCCACGGAGGAGAAAGGGCACGAATATCGTGTCCAGCGGCTCTGGCTCGGGGGACACAACGGGTGCGGGCGGATGGGGGCTCTGGCCTTTGTTCAGGGGCTCCCGGAGGGTGAGCTGGAGGCGCCACAGGTTGATCAGCGGGTCCCAGGCGTGTGAATGTCGCTCCCAGGCTGGAGAAAGGTACATGAATTCTACATGCAAGCCGCCTGGGATCGTCTGTGCGGGGTACCACCGGGCTCCCCGCTCCCCAAGAGAGGCCTATGCATCTACTAGTTATTTCCATGTTTACCTCGCCTCCCTCCCCTAACACCCCCCCTTCACTTTCTCCTCCCACCCTGTCCCGCCATCTTGGGCCGATAGGAGCAGCCATTACTTAACTAAATGACAGGGCCAGCAACTTTGCACACAAATAAACAAGAGACTGCACCCCGGCCTCCTCTCCCCCGTCCGATCTCCCCTGCCGGGCACGCAGGAAACCGGGGTCCGGGGACAAAACACGCTCAGGGGTCCCTGCAGGGTTTCGAGGGCAGAAAGGGCCAAAAAGTAAACAAGTCACCTAACTTCAGGTGGAAGCCGGAGCGAGCGGGAGGCATGTCACCGGCCCCGCGCGAACTCCTCGCCGCCCCGAGCTGCGTGCAACTTGCCCCTCCGGGCAGCGGGGCGGCGGGCCAGCCCGGGCCCCTGCCTGGCGGCGGACACCCGCACGGCCCGCAGCCAGCGCCGGCGAGGCGAGCGAGCGGGAGGCCGGGGGGCGATGTGCACGCATTCACGACCCCTGCACGCCAACGGGGCCCCCGGGGGCCGTCGGTGGGAGCCCCCCGAAAGCTGGGGAGCGGCGGCTCCGCCGACCCGCTGCAGCTCGGCCCCAGCGCGCTCCGATCGCCGCTCCTCCGGCTCCGAGCGGAGAGCGATTCCGCCGGCGGAGGCAGCAAACAGCGGCCCGGAAGCCCCTCGGCCCTCGCCCGCAGCACAATGAGCGCCGGGCCCGGGGCGAGCGGGGCAGCGGGGCAGCGGGGCGCCGGCCCCCGACAGCGGCTCCGCGCTCCGGCCGCGGCTGCCTTACCTTGCCCAGCAGGGCCTTCGTCCTGGCGCCATCTTCATGCAGCCTCACGAACCCGAACAGGCGGCTGTGGGAGACACACACGCGCTCGGTCAGAGCTCCGGGACAGCCACCGGCCCGCCCCGGCCCGAGCCCGAGGCCCCGCGGGCGGCCGCCGCCCGGAGAGCGCCCGGCCCGGCGCCCGCCCCGCCGCCGCCGCCAGAGGCGAGCCGCGCTCCGGCCGCCCCGAGAGCCGCGCAGCCCCGGCCCGGGGCCGACCGGGCGGCCGCCCGCGGCCCGTACCTGTCCAGCCCGCCGAGCGCCTCCCTCTCCTCGGCTGTCAGGCTGGGGGACGCCTCCTCGCTCTCGCCGCTCGCTTTTCCCGCCGCCATTTTCTTTTCCTCATCACCGAAAGCCGCGGCGGCGGCGGCGGCGGTAGCGAGCGACACTCCGCAGGATTTCATGGAAACGCGGCGGCTTCCCAACTCCAGCGCCGACACCCCCGGGCCGGGGCCCGCCACGACGCCCCCAATCTCCGCGCGGGACCGGCGCACCAACTTTATCGCCGCCTCCTCCCGCTCCGCCGCGGCCGGCGGCGACGAGCAATCCCAACGCGGCGGCGGCGAAGGCGGCGGCAGGGGCTGCGGAGCCCCCGGGTCGGCGGCAGCAGCGGCGGCTCGGCTGTGGGGTCACATCGCGGGGGCGGGCGAGGGGCGGCCACGGGCGAGGACGGCGGGAGCGGCCGGAGCGCGCGGGGCTGGGGGCGCGGGAGCGATCCGGCGGAGACACAAACTTCCCCGGCACCAGCACAAAGTTGTTGTAATTGTGTCACACAGCGAACCCCACGCCGCCGCCGTGACCCCCCCGCCCGGCCCGGCCGGCTCCGCCAATCGCGTGCGCCCGCTCGCCCCACGTGACCTTTGTTGACTCACGTCAGCCGCGGCGCCACGCAACTTGCTAGCGGCCCGAGCCCCGCCCTCCGAGGCCGCCGTCGACGGGGAGGGGGACGCACGGCTGCGCCGGCTTCTGATTGGCCGCTTGGCCCGTCCGTCAGGGGGAAGGGCTGGCCGCCAGAGGGAGCCGGATTAGGTTGCGCCGGTTAAATACGCCGGGACAGAGAATGGAGGGTCTGGGCCGTGTCACCTCGGGAGCGGCGGCGGGCTCCGGAGGGCGTCTGGGGGGCGCGGAGGTCGGAGCGGCGGGGAAGGGCGAGGTCCGGCACCGCCCGCGGAGGGCGCGAGCGTGGAGCCGGGACGCCTCGGATCGCCTTTGCCCGGGAGCTCGGGGACGGGCCCAGCCCGCGGCTCCAGCAGCCCCGCGCGCCGTGAGTCCGGGTCCCGCAGGGTCTGGTAAGGGTCTCGGAGCGCGGCCCCTGACCTTCGCCCCCCGCAGAAGGCATCCACTCCGGCCCCGCTGCAAATCATGGCCTCCTGCCCGCGGCTCGGGGGCCGCCCTGGGCCAGGCCCACGCTCTCGGCCCCGCTACTCTCGGGGGGCTCCCTGACCCCCGGCCGAAGGGAATGGAGGGTCCCCCAGCAGACCACGGCCCCCCCACCCACCGCCGAAGGTCTGTTGGCGGCACTTGGGGGCCCGATTCGCCAGCTACCTGCGTTTGGTCTGTGGTTCGTTCCACTATTGTAAGAAAAAGCAATAACCAAAACTTGTTCGGCGGGACCTCCAGGATGTTGGTTTCTGTTGCCGCGATCTCGGTGGGGCCTGCAGGGAAGAGTTGGGGCTACTTGGGGACCGGCCTGAGGGAAAGCAGAATTAAGATCCTCATCAGAGTTTGCACTCGAGAAAAGCCTTTGCTATCACCCCAACATGCCTCAGACAGCAGTACCACTTTCTTGTTCTGACCGTGTCTCCCATACAGATGAAAATCCACTGCTAGTCTGGCTTTCAATCCACAGTGTAATCAGGAGAAAAAGCAAACATGCCTTCCATCCATTACTCTTTGCAATTTAATAAGATATGTCTCCTATAATAGATCTGTAACCAGGCACACCTCTTGTCTTCGGGGAAAGGAGAATATTAATTAGTGGACATGAATTTATTAACAGGGACTCAGAAATTTCAGTAATATAACCCATTCAGAATATATCTCTAACTTAGACTTCAAAATAAAAGGAAGACAATTCATTACTGACTCAGTTATCCTAGCAGTATTCAGTGAGCACCTATGGAGTCCCAACTGATTTTTGCACCCGGACACAGTTTTAAATTGTTCCCCGGTGACTAATAACTAGACTAACAAACTGTAGTTTTATGTGGATTATATTTCATGTTTAATTACTTTCTCTGAAACACCCCTTCCATTCTTCCTGGTATTCCATCTTATTTGAATGAGTATAGAGGGCTGAGTATCTTCCCCAGCTAAATTAACACATGCATTGTTAATTTGTCATAAATAATGACCTTCAAAGCGGGGAGATTTTGACAGCACTCTCCCCTCACCACACACACACACACACACACACACACACACACACACACACACAGACTTGCACCACCAGAGATACAAATTCTGCCATTATCTGGCCATCTTCCTGGAGTTGATGGTCCTTGACTAAGGCCCTTTTTAAAGGTTATAAAGCTACCCACTCACAACCCCTCTAAACCTTTCTCAGCACACAGGCATTACTAGGTAACAGCAGGAAAATGTCACTGAGTGTATGCAGTAGGTGGATTGGACTCGCAGACCTGGATCAAATCCTTACTCTGCACAGGCTGTGTGACCTTGGGAAATTTAAAAAGAAAATGTACCCACTTGACAGCACTCTTTTGAAGATTGAATGCTATAAGGTAAGTAAAGTGTCAGACATATAACGCATTCAAAGACCTCAAGAAAAGAGGAAGGTTCGAATTTTTAAAATCTTAGCTTTCACATTCTGGCTTATAAATGTATCAATCACCACTCTACCAATTACTTCCTCTATTTCTCCCAACTGCTGAATGAGATCAACACTTAGGCAGTCCTAATCTACTTTTTTTTTTGTGGGGGGCATATAACCCAACAGTATTACATCTCTCCATTATTATAAAATTAAACCTAGTACTGATTCTTGTTTCATAATTCTAACTTAATGCACTAGGAACTGGGGAGAGCCATTTGAATGTACCAAGTTGATAAGATTAGTAAATGCACTGATAAATCAATATTTTGAAATTATATAAAATTTGTATCATGCTGAGTGGTATGGAGTAATTAGTGCATGGACTAATTAGTACATAATTTGTAACACTATTCTGTTAATACTTATGTAAGTACCATCAGTATCAGAGAAGCAGCCCATTCAAATACTGGAAAATAAATCTAACTTCCTTTTATTTATTTATTTTTTTAAAATATATTTTATTGATCTTATACAGAGAGGAAGGGAGAGAGATAGTTAGAAACATCGATGAGAGAGAGTCATCGATCAGCTGCCTCTTGCACACCCCCTACTGGGGATATGCCCACAACCAAGGTACATGCCCTTGACCGGAATCGAACCCGGGACCCTTCAGTCCCCAAGCCGACGCTCTATCCATTGAGCCAAACCAGTCCCAGCCTAACTTCCTTTTAAACAACTAAATACTTAACCTGAAGCATATAGGAATATGTCGTTCATTTATAATGTTAGTGCCACATAAACCTATACAGATAATAAAAGTCACATAATAGAGTCATGATTTATCTAGTCTTATAAATAGAACTATACCTATTGTTAGGTCTGATCAAATAATTGAATCGATCACCCTAACACTTACCCTTTTATGTTAGGATCAAAAATAAGTTTTAAAAAGTGGACTAGCTCTTCCCATTATTACCAGTGTCTTCAAGATTGTCCAACTGATGTCCAAACACAATGATGCTAAAATAAATACAGGGTAAGGGTTAGTGGGGAGACAGCCAAATACAGATTTTTCCATTATTACAAAAACTTCAGCTGTCCAAACAGTTTTGGGACTTAGGAAGAGGCCAAGCCATCCACACCCACTTGGAGCCTGGACTTCCACCCTCACCAGGCTACAAGTAATGAGGCTCTTCAAATCCCCACCAAACCACCACCATACTAGGGAGCCTGGGCTTCTGCCTCCACTAGTAATGGGCCATCACTCCCCCTTCTTGCCGAGTTGGTGTCAGAGGAGGCCGAGTAGAGAGTCGGGACATTCATTGCTGCCCAACTGTAACAAGACCACCACTTGATGTGGAGACAATGTGGGGAGCAGTAAGGAGGCGCTCCTACACCCCCCAGCCAGGGTGGTATCCATGGAGGCCTAACCCCAGCCACACCCAGGAATGATAAGGAGACCCTCCCCCTCCACCACGGTCAGCGAGGATGGGTGGGGGACCTGTACTTCTACCTAGTAGTAACAAAGCAATGCTTCCCATCCCCCGTCAGTGATGTCAGAAAGGGCTGGAACACAAGACTTAGATAAGATCTAGGGTCTCATAACATAATCCCCAAAATGTCCAGATCTCCATTAAAAAAGCACTCCTACCAAGAATCAGAAAAATCTCAAATTGAATGAGAAAAGACAACAGATGCAAACACTAAAACACTAATCAGATGTTCAAATTACCTGACAAGGATAATTTAAAGCAGTCATTATAAAAGTGTTCCCACGAGCAATTATAAACCCATTTGAAACTAATGAAAACCTAGAAAGTCTCAGCAGAGAAATAGGAAGTTTCAGAAAATAATCCACATACAAAGAAGAACCAAGTGGAAATTTTAGAACTAAAAAATACTAGCACAATAACCAAAATTAAAAACTCAATGTATGGGCTCAACATCAGAATGGAAGGAATAGAGGAAAGAATCAGTGAACTTGCAGATGGAGCAATAGAAATTGCCCAATCTGAACAGAAAATTAGATAATGAGCAGAACCTCAGGGATCTGTAGGGACTATAACAAAAGTTATAACACTTGTGTTATCAGGGTTACAGAAGGAAAGGGCCCAAAAAGTATGGTCCCTGTCCTACACTCTTAAAGAGAGCTGTATAAATAAATTTTATACTATAATACAGAGCGATCGATGAGTGCTGTAAGCTTTGCCCAAATTTCTGTGGATGCTCATAAAAGAGACATCTTTTTCTTTTTTTCTTTCTTTTTTTTTTTTTTTTTTTTTTTTTCTTTTTTTCAGAGAGGACGGGAGAAGAAGAGATGGAAACATCAATAATGAGAGAGACTCATTGGTTGGCTGCCTCCTGCCTGCCCCACCCTGGTGACCAAGCCTGCAACCTGGGTATGTGCCTTGTCTGGGAATCCAACCGTGACTTTCTGGTTCATAGGTCAATGCTCAACCCCTGAGCCATGCTGGTCGGGCAAAAGAGGCATCTTTAACAGGGGCTTAATCACAAGGAACAACAACAGCCTGTAATTATTGGAATCGAGACTAGAGCAATCAGATAGAACTCCTAAAGAACAGAGGATGAATTGGTAGGAACTGGAGGCTGAATGTAGGAGGTGGAGGGGGG